TGTTGCAAAAATCAAATGAGAACATAAATAGGAAAGTATTTTCACAAATGCAAAGTGGTGTTATTTTCAAATGTGAAATTGAGCACATTTTTTTGGAAGGGGGGCCACATGATTACTGCACAGATCATGCCCGATTATGATGCTGTTTCACCTCCATTCACCCTTTACCTATTGCAGACAGTGATTACACTACCAATGCTGCATTCACTCCTTTGGCTCATTTTCCTCCCACCAAATTTCTAAGATGCATATCTCACCACAATGTGAAATACTGCATAGAAGCTACTTACAAAACTCAACCTACCTTAAACCGTCCATATAAGTGCAATAAGCAAGGGTTATACTAGATGTAAGCAGCAAGGGTTCAAAAAGGAGATGGACCATGTCTAATTAGAAAAAGCTTCTGTAAAGTAAACCCAATATGCCATGTATTTTAGTAATTCAAGTATTTGTTCTGTCACCACACCCACTTCCATGCTTCAGAGACAATAACAGTATTTTCTCTCCTTGTAGCTCCCAAGAACCTGGCAGAGAAGACATCTTAGTATGTGGTAAGGGATGATGTGAATTGGCTAACTTGCTGTCAGTAACAAGCCCTTGTGGCTTTTAACATTTATTTATCCATCACAATGAAGCCCGACTATCTTTAGTGTAGCATCATATGTAGGAATTTGCCGGCAGGGAGTGTGCCCAGAACGCCCTTATGAATCCCAAGGGAGGAACCTTTATTGAGGATGTGCTCAGTGCCAGACACAGGGGTACTTTCACATATGCACCTAATACGCATTTAGCCCTCACAGCACGTCTTCAAGCTTTAAGCCTATTTTACAGATGAGGATGCTGAGGCTGGGTTAAGATGAATTGTCTAATCTCGCAACTAATGAAGCCCCTGCGTGTGCGTGGCCTCTTGAAAACCTCACCGCAAAACTTCACATCAGCCTCACTAAATCCCACCTTGCTACTGCCGTCCCTGCAGGCATCTATTCTAGCTATTCCTCCTTGCGCCCCCAGGCCCTCGTAAAGCCAGTAAAACCTAAGTCTTAACAAGGCTTCCACGTAAAGATGCTCACTCACCCTACTGCTTTTGTCACCCTCCCAATTATTAGCCCCGAGCTTCTCCAGAGAGTCTGCACAGCTTTTTCCCCAGGCTGAGATCCTCCTCTCCTGCAGAGCGGTTACGGGGTCAGGACGCAGATTCCGGAAAAGGACACCCGCAGGAGGGGCGGCGGGGGTTGAGGTGGGGGGATACCAGGGCGGCGGCCACGGGCAGGGGTCCCGCCTCCGCGCGGCCCGGAACTACGCTTCCCAGCCTGCCCCGCAGCAGCCGCGCACCCCGGCGCCGCGCCCGGCCCGGAGCCGCCTGTTGATCGCCGCGCTCGCCCCGGCCACGGCGCCGCCCCTGCTCGGCCGACCCCGCTACCTCGGGGCTGACAGATCGCCGACCCACACCGCCGGCTCCGGGATGGGCACACAGACGGGTGAGCGCGCCGGGGCGGGTGAAGGCCGCCCCGGGCGGGGCGCTGTCCGCAGTCCGCAGTCCACTGCCCGCAGCGCGGGGACGGTTGCGCCCTCCCTGCGGGATGGAGGATGCTCCGCGGCATCGGGGGGCCGGGCGGGCGCGTGGAGCCGGGGCCGCCTCTTGCCTCCCGGCCCGGGCGGGCTGCTCGGTGCGGCGCGGGCGGGAGGCGCCTGCCCGGTGTGGGTCCCGCGCCCCGCACTGCGGCCCCGCAGCCTCGGCAGCCCGCCGGGCCGCTGCAGTGAGGGCGCGGTCTCCTGTCCTCGAGCAGGGCTGGGTTTTTCCACGCTGGGCTTTGTTCCCCACTTTCTCCTCTCCTGCGACCGTTTGACACGCTCCTGGAGCCTAATGCCTCTCGCTGCACGGCTAAAGGAGGCGGCGGGGAAGGGTGGACACCAGCTGGCGTCTTTTTCTAAGATCCCTGGAGCTGTCACCCGCAGGGCGTTTCAGCGCCCGAGAAAGCATTCAGAGAGAGGCCTGATGCAGGTCCTCCAGACCCTTATTTTTTTCCTGATTAAAGTAATTATAGCATATGCTCCCTTGAGTCTTCCTAATTTTTCCATGTTGGTCTGCAGATATGCAGATCAATTTTAAAATAATAATATTAATAAAAGGCTCCTAATGGAAATTTTTACTTAAAGTATTCAAAGGTGGGGAGGTGATGCAGGCAAAATGCAAATTAGCAATGAGGGAGGTGGTGAGTGCTGCGGCTTAATCTTGCTTATTGCACATCTGTATCACGATGCACTTTGGAAGGGAATAAAAAAACATCGAAGGAGGTATTTTAAAAACAGGTTCCTGTCCTAGTTCCACCATTAAGGAGCTGAGGGACTGTGGGCAAGTTCCTTCACCTCTCTGAGCCTCTTTCTTCACATAAAATGGGGCGTTTGGGCGAAATGATTTCTAAACCTCTGTTCTTCCAAGAGTCTCTTAGCAGAGAACTGAAGAGATGTGGGTGCTTCTGCTCCACACCATTACAAAAAGCCTGATTGTGACAGAACAAGTGGCTTTACCCTAATGAGGAGGAAAGATTTTTCAGAGCTTAGGCAATCTGATATTTTTAAAAATACAACTGATTTCTTCTATTCTCTTCCTCTCCTGTCTATGTCTAAGCCAACAAATGTGCATTACCACTGTTTTAACTTTCATAAATTACTGCAAATTGGTAGGCAAATGACATTTCAGGGTTTTTTGTTGTTGTTGTTTGCTTTTCTGTTTAATTTGCTGAAAGTGAAGTGATGAGATCAACATGGAAAGGGAGAAGCAAATGCACCTCAGGGCTGGGCCAGAGTGGGCAGATGTGGTCAGCAAGAAGGTGGGGAGGGAGCCACAGCAAGAAGTAACCAGACTGCATACATTGAGGAAAGAGGATGGATAGTGATGGGCAGGGTTTGAATAATATATACACAATAGGAAGAATGGGAGAACCAGAAAGCCAGCACTCTGCAGACCTGAACATAACTGATTCAGGCCAGGATTCATCCATGGGTGTAAAACCTTTGAGTGAAAGGTTGTTGGAGAACAGAATTTTCACATTATTTCCAAATATCTCACTTAGATTACTTAGGGAAATGGTGTCCTTACAATGGAGAGATCAGGAGGTCATTGCCTTAGACTAGTGACTAAGCTTACCGGCACCTATTAGGAGCCTCTTGTTGGGGTGCAATAAGGTGATAACTATCTATGTCGTGTTACTACCAAAAAACTGAGGGTTTGGGGGGTGAAATATTCAAATGATGTAACAGCCAATTGGGAAATGTGAACTTCAGATCCTAGATCAGAAATAAATAGCTATACAAGATGATTTAGAGACAGTTGGGCAAATTTGAATATGGACTGCATATTAGATAATATTATGAGATTACTTTTCAATTAGGTGCAGTAGTGGTACTGTGGTTATGTGGGACACTGTCCTTATTCTTTCAAGGTGTGACTATTAGAGGCAAAGTGTCATGACATCTGCAACTTTCAGCTGGCTCAGGAAAAGTGAAGTGTAAGGGTAAGCCCAAGGAGGTAGCACATGATGCCAGTGGGCGAGTCAAAGAGAATGGTATACAGGTGTTGATTGTACTATTCTTTTGCCTTTTCTGTAGATTTAAACTTTTTAAATTGAAAAATGGGAGGAGATGAATATAACAAATAAATAAGGAGGAAGTGTTGTAAAGGACCATGTGATTAGTGATAGACAGGTGCAGTGAATCTGTGACTTCAAGTTCTATTGGACGTATGGGTGGGCTCAGGGGAAGTCCCCTTTTTGGTTCATCTTGGCCACAGTCAGTCATTTATTCTTAAGGCACTGCATCCACTAACTCCATCATTAAGGTATTAATAATTCCCAAACCGTAGAAATTCTACCCCTCCCCAAGAACCATCCTGGAAGTGCTGTCCCTTTCCTCTCTGTGTTCAAGATCCTGTCTATGTAGAAGGAAGTTCCAGGTGGTGGTTCTTTTTGAGTTAGGAGAGTTTTGAGGAACGAACAGATCCAGCTTTTTGACAGACAGAAGTTACAGGGTTTCTTCCCATTCCCTTTATTTGCAAAACACATGCAACCAAATGTTTTCCTTACAGACTATCAGTAGTTCAAAGAAACGTGTGCAAGTTCAATAGGAGGCATGTGCAGAAGAGACTCCCTATTACCAGGACAAGAAAACAGAATCAACTCTTAAGGCATAACACTTAATTTTAAATCTTTTGCTGCAAGGATATTTTTGCTATATCTGAAATATATACATATGTCCATTTTTATGTTTTGCTCTTCTGTTTGGCATCAAGGCTACCCCATCTCTTTCATGTGTGTTGCCAGCACTTCTGGATTCCCCTAGTGACAGCTGGGTAGGGTGGGGAGTTGCAGTTCAGCCTTAGGTTCGTGGGTTACAGGAAGTCACAAAACAGGGTACAAGGCTAGCCATGCCAAGCCTGGATATGAGGAGTAAGGAGCAAAGCTGAGGTACCAGCCCTAAGAAAGAACCAGGAGGCCTCTCATCAGAACGATTGGAAGGCTCAAGTCTAGTGAACTGGACTGTTCTTCAGCAAGTATGTGCAGGGGCAGCCACTTTTGTTGTTTATAGCTGACAACCATTCTGACCAAGCAGTGCCCATTCTGTACCAGTTGCTGAATATTTCACATATCATGTTGGTAAACAGTCATCAGTCAAGGTGCATGTAGTATCCATAAGTCATAAGAAAGCATTGATCAAAACCAAGCTAGGATACAGATGCCAGAGAAAGGAACAAGATAAATGGGTCAAAGAGTGCACAAACAGGCAGAAGCCAAAAGGGCACGTGAATCAAAACACAGAAAGCAGGGAACCCATTGTGCCAGTTAGGAAGGGAGAAGCCTATAACTTCTGAAAGGCAAGGAGACCGAACATCGCTAGAACCCATAGACAGTTAAAAAATATAAGATACACATGCCCAAATGGAAGGCAAGGATATAGACAAAAGTCAAGAAACAGGAACTCCTCAGAAGACAGAGAATAGGGCCAGACAAAGAGATAAGCCACAGCAGGAAGTAGGACCTGCCAAGAGAATTAGAAAGCAGGTGTCAATCTAGGCACACAGTAAGACTTCCATGCTAATAGGGTTCTGTCCCAGCCAGGAAGCTTCTGGACTATATCCTGCCCAGGTAGAAAGCTCTCTCATACTTTGGCCAGCCTACACGTGGCAACTTGCCACTCCTAGCGACGCTGACCCAGGGTCTGATGCTGCCTTTCCATATACAACAGATCCTGACAAGGTACAACGAATACCCCGAACAGAAGATTATCCCCAGACCAAGGACATAAGAGGAATAGCTTTGACTGCATGTGCTAGGTCAAATAGCTTTGACCACTGCACCTGGTACACACATTGTCACATTTAGCATCATCTCCACTTTCTGAGATAATACTGTTCTTTGCCTGTTTTGGAGAGGTTGCCACTTGCACACAGATCTGTAACTGTCAGACCCAGGGCTGGTTGGGCCGTGCTCTTCTGAACCTGGCAGGAGGTGATCACTAGTGGGCACACTGGTTTAAAAGGAGACCGTTTTTAAGTACAGTTTAAGCTCTGGCTCTGGCACTTAGTAAGATTGGGAAGTTAAGAACAAATAGTCTCAGATATAAATTTCATTCTGATAAGATCTATTCCTTGTTCCATTTTCAGTTTGTTTCTTACAATTGCCTTGTCATATTTTTGCCTGAAATTCCTCCTTCTCTATCCTTCATTTCCTGCAAGTGTTTCCCAGAATACGGCAGGAACCATTTGGTTGTTTAAAAAAAGAAACAAACTTGACCAGGCCATCTTCAAATAGCTAGATTCCAAAACACAGGCTATGTGTTTTGTACCCATCTTTGTGTTTGCCAGCAGCTAGAAAGGAATTAAATATACAGGATACAGGATCCATCCTGTCTTGGAGGATATACTGATATGCTGATTTTCTTCTAATTTACAAGTTTTAGAAAATGTAGATTTGGCTCTTGTTCAAATTGGTTCACTGATTATTTAAAACTCATTATGAAATACTGTAACTATATAATACAGAATGATAACTTCATGCTTACCAACTAACCCCACTTGGGAATAAATCATCACCAGTATAGTTGAAGCCTGAGTCCCCCTTCTGTAATCAGATCCCCCTCTGCTCCCAATGTGGTGTCTGTCCTTTCTGTGAGCAGTCCTGTGTAGCTTTCCTAGAAATTCATGTACTCCAAAGCAATTTATGGTACTGTTTTGCCCATATAAAAAGCTTTTCACTAGATTTTTCAGTGTATTTTTGTTTGCTCTTTCATAAAAATTAATTTTTGGTTTGGTTAGGTTTCATAAATAGGGCTGCTTGTTTTGGCTTTGGTTCTAAGTCCTTGTGTGTAGGCAAGGCCAAAGGCTGGGCACTTTGGGCTGTATCTGATGTTCCTCTTATACCAGAGTTACACAAATAAGGTAGTGGAAAGAGAAGCAAAGAAAGCCATTCTCTGTGTTTTCCCT